TTTGAAATTCCATAATTTCAAATTCAAAATATTGTGTAAGAAGTCATAGGATTTTAATTTTAGAATTTGAATTTTGAAGTCAGCAAAGACGATAACGGAAGCCGGTTGATATGTATGTAATTGTTATTATATGTAGTCCTTCGTAAATAATGTTACTCAAATGATGATTAATTGGGAGATACTTTGGTATTTTGATCATCCAAATTTAAAGTATATTCTCGAAACAATTATTTTTGTACAACTAAATGTAAAATTGAAAAAATACATTAACTATAAGTAATTCATAAATTATTTAAAACTTATAAAAAAATCTTTTAAATTTCAAATCAAATACACATCTTTATTTAGAAAAAACCATTTTGGGAAAACACTTCTTTATAAATGATCATTTTAAGAATTAATTCTAAATTTAGCAGATAAAAAATACCAAAAACCCTCAATTAATCCTCATTTAGTAACATCATTTACGAAGGACCATTTTGAGAATAAAAATTCAATTATAGAGGACCACGTAGGTAATTAAAATTTATTGATGACTGATTTGGGAAACACCTTATTAGAAAGGACTATTTTGGAAATTTACTCTTAATATTATGTATTTATGGTAGTTCCCATTGTATAGGATTCTTCTCTTATTTGTGTATCCCTCCGTCTGTATATATATGGGAGGTGGAACTCTTGTTTATCGGTTTAGAAATAATATTATGAAATTCTTCAGTGTCTCAATCGGGGGAGTGGCTATAGAACCCAACCAAGAGAAAACTATGGAGGAATGAAATGTGGAAAGAGATGCTAAAATCTAAATAGGGAGCATTTTATCGATGTAGGTGAATTCAATCGTAATAAGTTGTTAAATCTAGCAGCTTCAAACTCTTATCGATTCAATTAATGACTAATGTATAATGACTAAAAGTGTTACTCCCTCCGTCCTAAAATTAACTTCTCATTTGACTTTTCACGGTCTCCAATGCGACACTTTGACCATTAGTATCTCCATTTTTATATGAATATATATAATAAAAATAATATATTTCAAAACTATGTTTCAAAATTAATCTATTGATAATAAATTTATACTGTATGAAAATTCAATATATTTTTTTCGTAATATACGGTCAAAGTTTAAGAAGTTTGACTGCAAAAGTCAAAATGAGAGTTAATTTTAGGATGGAGGGAGTACATTGGAAAAAAACACATGTGGTGGTATTTAGGGAAAGTCATTATGTTTTAGTGCTATTTAAGTAAATTCCCCTTTGGTATTTTGTTTCTTGAGATTGCCAATATTCTAATTAATTCGCCAAACAAGAGAGTGGAAAGTTTGAACCAGCGATGAGCACATAAGCAAAATCTTAGGAAACAAAATTCACCCAAGATTTGAGTTTGGGCATGCAAGTAGCATAGCAAAATATGGGACACAAAAAAAACATGTATGTGTATGTTTATCGTGTGCTGCAGTTTTTGGGATATTACCATTTGCATAGGGATGTAGACATGCCACAAAAATCACCATTGCACACATTCATTATTTAATTATGTGAAGGAATTGAATCACAAAGGCAAATGATGCATTGAATCATATGAATGTGTGTGTGGCGAATTGTGATAGTGTATTTAACTAAGACCCCATTTGGCATGTGACGGTAGCCTTTGACTTTAATATTTTCCAAATTAATCTGCATCGTTAATATTTTATGTAAAATGCTAATGCTAATTGAAAGCGTTCTACCCAAACAAGGCCTAATACTCCCTCGGTCCCTAAAGGATTGACACAGTTTGATTGGTTAAATGGTGACACCCTTTGACCATGAATTAAGGGCTCGTTTGGTGAGTTTTGAAGATATGATAAGATATGAGTTATGAAATCTAGAAGAAATATATGAATTTGGAAATTTGAAACGAATTTGTCGGGAGAGATTTAAAATTATGATTTAATTAGTGATAAACGGGAGTGACCGGAAAGGGAGTGGTTGGCGGTGACAATGGTAGCCGGTGACGGAGAATGATTAATGGTTGATGGAGATATCTTACCCCCATATTGATATCTCCCAAATTTGGGAGATATCAAAACTTTCAATTTGAAGGATTTATGATATCAAGAGATATCGAATTCGATATCTTTTTTGGCTTCACCAAACACCCAAAAAGAATTTTAATATCTGGAGATATCAAAACTCGTATCTTGTTTGCTCACCAAATACACCCTAAATATAGTTTAAAATAATTAAAAACTATAGAAATTTAATATTTCAAAACTATATTTTAAAATGAGTTCAAGTTTACTAAATTTTTATTATAACTAAATATACTATTTTTATAATTTAGGGTAAAATGTGTCACAATTTGACCAAAAAAGTCAAATTGAGGTAATCTTTTAAGGACAGAGTTGAGGGAGTATAATGCACACGTCATTATTAAAAGATGTGGTTAATTTATAATTACGTAATAAATTTCAAAAATGATAAATTGATAGATATGAAAAAAATCCATTGGGAGATTGTTCAATTCTTGAAGAAACACTTATTTAAAAGTAGAATCTATCCTCTGCAAAATGAAATGAAAGAAAAACATAAAAACGGGTTGTCATTCAAGATCATGTATAATGTGTATCTTGAATTCATAGGGCTACCAATTGTCAAATTAAATAAGTTTAGAAGTACACACAAACACTGAAAAATAATAGCTAAAATCACACCTCCTAACAAAAACAAGCTATTGGGTTTCTACAATATAGCACCATTAGCATATAAGAAATGTAATTGTTAATACGGTTATATTAGGTTCCCAATGACACTCAAAATGAGCATTAATAGATGACACCAACTTCAATTGAAATTATTACAGTGTTACGTTCGTAAAATTGATCATTCATTCCTCCTCTCCAACCCCGCCCCCCTTATTTTTTTTATTTCTATAGCCACTTCGCTCAAAAACTTTTTTTAGATAGGATTCCGATAAACCCCCCACCCCATTCTAGTATTGTAAATGAACTAACCAAATAATTTTGATTTGATTCGTAATTCGTTTTCGTTTGTACTGATTTGTATTTTTAAAAAAATTGAATCTAAATCTGAATACTATATAAATAGGGATGTATCCTTCATTATTCAATAAGACCAATTATTATCAAATTGTATCATGGTATTGGAGCTAAGGTTTTCTAAAACATAGACTCTTCTTCAAGACCGAGCACATCACCAGTCTCTGTTTACGGCACTCGACTGTCCGACAGTATAGCGTCACCGACCGGTGTCGGCGAGTGTGCCTAACAGCCGTCATCCATTACCCCCCTCTTTCTGTCAAAAAACAATTATCTCTCAATTTTTCTCCAAAAAAATCCATTATTTCTCTCTCTTTCAAAAGAATTATGTGTCTGATCGAAGAACGGAAAAATATCATTTGTCTGTGTTTTTTATAGAGATCACGAGTATGAAAAGCGATAGAGAAGTAGGGAATGACCACAAAGAGAAAAAAGAAACTCATCGCCCTCATTTCAATCGTCAACACTCTCACCAGGAAAAAGCTTAGCAAACATAATTTCAAGTTCGTTCGTCATGCAACGAAGATCTATCTCTCTACTTCTAGAGGTTATCCTCACAAAACTACTTGTGCCAGCTCAATTCTAGTACATGTGCTCCAAACTGCTCTTCGTTATCGATGATTAGCTTGCGTCAGATATTAGAAAAATAGGTGTATTAGGAAATATCTATTATTATTCATTACCTTTATTGTATTGTTACTATAATTCTTCTCTTACTTGGATTAAAATCCTTTCTTGTAATTCTTATATATCGAGATGTATCCTTCATTATTTAATAAGACCAATTATTATCAAATTGTATCAATGCTGACCACGAGTTAATGCCTAATTTGTAGAAATTAATTCAACAAATTAAATGACAATCTATTTAGTACGGAGTATTTAGCCTCTAGATAGATAAAGAGGGATTAGTTAATCAGAAGTAATACAGAGCATAATTAAGTATGAAGAGATAGGGGTAAAGCAGTCATTGATCACAGGTTTGATTTTTAGCAAGAGCTTAAGGCAGCGGTTCCAACAAGCAGAGACCATTAAATGACTCATCTGTCATCTCCTCTCTCTTCCTCACATGCAACGACTTTACCTGTCAACCTATCAGCCTAATTCATCATTTTCCCAAATCACAATTATATTCAAGCCGTCATTAGTAAATACTCTATCTTTTTTATTAATCTTCTAATTTGATTACTTTGAAAGTTTGTATATTTTGACTCCGATATACAGACAAAATCTACTCCCCCGTTCTTTAAAACCTTTCCTCTTTCATTTTTTTTCAATTCCTTAAAACACTTCCACTTTCTATTAAAAACTCACTTTTAACTCTATTTTTTTATACCATACCTATCACATCGATCATACTTTTTCACTAATAACCAAACATCTTACTTTTACCCATCACATCAGGGGCAAAATTGGAAAGTCAACCAAAATTACACTTTTCTTATTTTGGCTCAAAGTCAAAATAGGAATGATTTTAAGGAACAGAGGGAGTATTGTATTTCAATATAAATGTAATATCAATAATTCCTTTTGAAATGTACGTAGCTTTAACATATAGAAATTTTATTAAATATATCTACGTATAAATATCGATATTAATTGTCAAAGTGTACCATTGGAGATGGTAAAAAACCAAAACGGAAGATTAATTTGAATTGGGACTAAAGGAATAATGATTTACCTCTTCAAGAACAATGTGATTATTGTACCAAAAAGAAAACAAAGGTTTATGAAGACATACATCCACATTAAAACTTAAGGTGAACAAATGTCATATACTCATATGTTTAGACTTTAGAATTGACTCAAATGTTTAGACTTTAGAATTGTTGAGTGCGAAGCCATGAAGCTAGGTGGAAGCTAATAAGAAATTGGCAGGAAGCTACCTAGAAGCTTATGGCTTAATCATTATCTCCCTATCTCTATTTAAGAGATGCTAATGTGCTTGTAATTGTGGTGCAACAACAAATAATAAAATCCTCCTAATTGCCCCGTGTGGACGTAGGCTGCAGTTGGCGGCCGAACCACGTTAAATCCTGTGTCGTTTATTTTTCTGCAGTTGATTCGTGATTGTGTGTTGTTTCCGCGTGCGTTTATTCCCAACAAGTGGTATCGGAGCTTTGGCTCGGCAAACCGGAAATCCGATCAGCAGAAACTAATTAGAAAGGAGTGTCACCTAAAGAACCCTGTGCAGTAGCAGGAGCCTGTGTTTGGGCCGCTGTCGCCGGAGCACCACCACCCCCGTCGATCCACGAAGCAGTGAGTGAGTCACGAAAGACTCGCCGCTGCCGCCATCAGTCGCGCAGCCCAGAACCCCCTCTAGCCACACACAGAGGACCAACCGCCTTGTGGTCGTGCAGCAAGAAGGGAGTCACCGCTGCCGCCGTCGATCTCCCTCCGCCGCTGGTTCAAAAAGAAGGTGAGAGGCTTGGGCAGGTTGTTCGCCGTTATCCGCGAACCACCGTAGCCTCCCCTCGTCAAGCCAAAGCTGACCAAGTAGGCAGATCCGCCGCCATCGATTGATCAGTCACAGGAGCCGTCTCCGTCGCAGAGGAATAGCCGTCGCGGTGAAGAGGGGCGAAGTCAACGCTTCTAACCAGCGCCCAACCCAAGCGCCACCGTGTGCTGTCTCCATCGCCGAATTGCACTGAAATTGCACAGTAGCCAAAAAAGGCTGAATGCTTTTGCTTTTGCTTGGCAGGTAATGCGTGATTGATTGGATTTGAGGTGTGAGGGAATAAAGAGAGATTTGGGTGGATTTTGCTATGAAGTGTTGGGCCGAAAGAAAAAAAAAAGAGGTGGGGGTCATTGTGGAATTTTTGGTGATAGTGGTGTGATTTTTTTGTGGGTGGTGTTAATTTTTTGTGTCCTAGATATCTTATCTGATAAAAATATCAAGATCTAAAATTAGTTGTACCGGGTATCTCATCTTGTCGTTAGAGATGACAGAAGATGGGAAGTTCCGAATTGAAAAGTTCGATGATACAGATTTCAGCTGGTGGAGAATGCAAATTGAAGATTTGCTAGTTCAGAAAGATTTGGACGTGGTATTGGGTGACAAGCCAGAAAAGATGTCAGATGCAAATTGGGCAGGTTTGGATCGGAAAGCAATGTCCGTGATCCGACTCTCGTTGACCAAGAATGTTGCGTTCAACATTCTGAAGGAGACGACAGCGAAAGGCATCATGGAAGCGTTGTCTAACATGTACGAAAAGCCATCTGCGGCAAACAAAGTGTTTCTGATTAGAGAATTGGTGAACAAAAGGATGAAAAATGGCACTTCAGTTACCGAGCATATCAACAAGTTGAATTCAATCTTAGCCAGACTTTTGTCAGTGGGCCTTAAGTTCGATGATGAAGTTCAAGCTTTGCTACTGCTATCGTCTTTACCTGATAGTTGGTCTAGAACGGTTACAGCGGTTACTGGTTCAGTGGGGCCTGACGGATTCACTTTTGAGAAGATTCGTGACCTCGTTCTTGGCGAAGATGTCAGAAGAAGGAGTTCTGGTGAGTCTTCGGAAGAATCACTAAATATCGTTAGAGGCAGAGGAAATAACAGAGGTAGTGGGAGCAAGAACAGACGAAGGAGTCAATCGAAGACTCGGGATAGCTCAGACGTAACATGCTGGAAGTGCAAGGAGGTGGGGCATTTCAGGAATCAGTGCCCGAAAGAGGATATGCAAGTGAACATTGCTAGAGGCTCCGCGAGTGACAAGGATTTGTTTATCTGTTGTGCGGAGAGCAGTGTGGATTCCTGGGTCATGGATTCTGGTGCTTCATTTCATGCTACCCACAGCGGTGAAGCATTGCAGAATCTAGTTGTTGGGGACTTTGGAAAGGTATGACTAGAAGACGACAGAGCTCTTGATGTGGCGGGCATGGGTGACATGGTGCTGAAGACCGCAGTCGGTTTCTGGACTTTGAAGGATGTCAGAGTGGTTCCAGGCTTGAAGAAACGTTTGATTTCTGTCAAGAAGTTGGACGAACAGGGACACGAGGTGAAGTTCGAAAATGGGCAGTGGAAGGTTGTCATGAAGGGAAATCTTGTCATGGCCCGTGGAAGGAAGAGTGGGTCGCTGTACATGGTCGAGTTACCGTCTGAGGGAGTGACCGTCCCAGTTCAGAAGAGAAACAAAGTCCGGTTCACAGAGTCTCGTGGGCAGAAGAAGGTTTTCTATGCAAGAAATAAATCCAGAGCCACAGGTCAGACTCAGGATGAACTAGACAATAAAATATTCTGCAATTGGTCAAAAATTGCAAGAAAGAATTTATTTCCTGTAGGATGACCACTTTCTATGCAAGAAAGAAACCCAGAGCCACATTGACTACAAAAATTAAAGACTAGACAAATATTCTAGAACGAAAGTAGTATTTCCTGTACGATGTGTCTCAAAATATTTTTTGACTATTCGTAGGGTCAAATTTTGACCACTTGCTTTGCATATTTTATTGAGTAAATTCCATAAAAGGTCCCCAGTTATAGGTCGTTTTACATATTTAGTCCCTACATATCAAATATTACTAATTTGGTCCCCAATTATTATATTTATTTCTACGAATGATCCTTTGTTAACATTTTCATTAAAACGTGGATAAAATTATAAATTCACACTTCTTTCTCTCCTCAATTAAGCTTTCTCCTCCCTTGTACTCCTTTCTCAAACCTGTCGCTGAGTTTCTAGCTTTGAACCCTAAACCAAAATCATCACTCTTCTCTCAATTGTTTGTCTAACTGGAGGAGCGATCATTTAAATTTTATGTTTAAGAGCTTCAAACTCAGCGACGAGTTTGGGAAAGAGTATGAGAAGATGAAGAAAGCTTAATTGAGGAGAGAGAGAAGTATGAATATATAATTTTATCCATGTTCTTAACGGAAATGTTATAAAGGACCATTCGTGGAAATAAATATAATAATTGGGGACTAAATTAGTAATATTTGATATGTAGGGACTAAATATGTAAAACGACCTATAACTGGGAACCTTTTATATAATTTACTCTATTTTATTTGCTTCTTTGAAAAAATAGGCTAGTACTCGTAGTATTCTAACCTCTTCACCTATTCTTCTATATAATTTTTGAGGTAATATTTCAATATGTACGTATGTTTTATTTTTTATTCTTGTACCAATTTCTTTAATAAATTTATTTCAAAATGCATTAGACTTTACTTTGCAATGCGAAGATTATAATCTAATTTAGAACATAGAAAGTATATCCAAATACTAGGAGAAAAAAATGTTAACGCTAAAGCTACTGTTAGATAGTTTTTTTAAGACGCTAACTTCAATTCTAATTATAATGTCGAGACATATATTTTTATACCGAGATAGAAGAAAGAAAACGAAGAAAGAAATGGATTAAGTAGGAAAGTAGAGGTATTTAATCCGGTGAGAGAGTCCAAATAACATCATTACCATTAGTGGGCTCGCTCAAATAGTTAATTAATTAATTAATTCAGGTAAACAAGTCCTAGCGTGGGGTGCGGCGGCACATGGCACACTTGGCGTGGAATCCACGGCAACACGTGCACCTCAGAGTCGTAAAGCCGGAAACTTACACATCTCTTTACGACATTTCGGCACGGCGGCCTCCGTGCCCGGTGGATCCTGCCGCCGCTTCCTTCGCTCCTTTTTTTTTACTTTCCCCTAATAAGGCATTTACTCCTTCTCTGGCATTAACTTCTTTTCCATACGGTTTATTTTTGATATTTGATTATACTAACTTTTTTTATTTAAATATTGATGTAAAATTAGGATATCTATTAGGAATTGAAATAGAATATTATTATCCAATTTCTTTCTTATTACATTACTTTTTTTATTATATTGTTACTATTAATTCTTATTCAACTTAGATTAGACTTTTTCTTTTTAATTTTTATATATGAGGATGTTTCCTTTATTTTTAATTAGACCAATTATCATCAAATTGTGTCAAGGTACTGGGGAGCTAATGTTCTAAAAAACATAACTCTTCCTTTTCCGACGGAGTACATTGCCATTCTCTATTCGCGGAGGTTGACCGTCCGATAGCATGGCGTCATCGATTGATCTCGACGAGCATGCCTAACAGCCGTCATCCATTATTCCTCTCTTATATTCTCCAAAAAATCCATTATCTCACTTTCTCTTCCAAAAAATCATGTGCGTGACCGAAGAAAGGGAAAATTGTATTTACATGCATGTATTTTTTCCAAAATATCAAGAGCATGGAAAGCGGTAGTGTAATACTCCGGCCTCCACCCTGACCATAAGCGTTTGCTCATAAGATTGTAGACTTGTCCCACAAGCTAACACAAACCTTTCATGCACACTTCATCCTCGCTCGTGCACGCCGAAGATAAATGAGCCGTTCAGAATAAACTTACCTAATAATTTAGGGGGGGGGGGGGGNGTTTGTGAAACATTGTTGAGAGGTGAAAGGAGTTACTCAATAAAAAATGCGAAACACTCACATGTGTAAGTGTCAAATCAATACTGCGGATCGTGCTTTTAATGGGCCTTTGTGCTACGCAATCAACAGTCCCTCGGTATTTGTCTTTGGGCTGGATTTATACGGAGTAGGTATATTTGGAGTATGTTGGTCTTACTTCCTCCCTCCCAAATTATTTGTCACATTTCTATTACCGAGTTAAAATATCAAGGTTTTTCAATTCATTTTATTTACATATTGGTAAAGAAATAAAAAATAAAAATTACATATCAAAAAACTACATGAAAAGTTTTTCGAAATAAGAGGTGTCAAGAATATTTTATTTTATCAAATAACTGAAATAAGCAATGAAAAGGTAGAAATAAACAAAAGTTCCCGCGACTGTTGAAAAAGCAAATGTGACAAATATTTCGGGACGGAGGGAGTATTTGATTACGGTTGATTTTCTTCGCAAAGGTTCTAAAATTTTGATTACTCCATCCGTTCTCCAGTTTTTGTCCACTTTTGACTTTTAGAACTGTTCATCTAAGCACTTTGACTCATAAAATTCTCTCAATGTGTAAGCCTAAATATAGTCATGTGTGATCTTGTTTGATTTGTCTTAACATATAGATTATTAATATATAATTTCTATAATTTTTTAATATACAAATTACACGATAAAATGGATTAAAGAAGTGCATTGGATGGTGTGTAAAAATGAAAGTGGACAAATACGCTGGGACGGAGGGAGTATAAATTAAGATCATGCTACACTTACACCAAAAATTGTATCTCATTTTTACCCCGCAGTTATATACAAACATTTTGATGGTTTACACCAACACAAGTGTTAGTACGTTAACAAAAATTTACACAGACACAAAGTAATGGTGCATTAATAAAAATTAGTTTTACACCAATACAAAATGTTGGTGCAAACCTGCGGAGTACAAAGTGGGGTACAAATAGCTTTATCGTATAAATTATAAACAATACATACATGCATACACACAGACATATATATATATATATATACATATACTGATATACATACATATATATGTGTGTGTGTGTGTGTGTAGGGTAAGGTTAATTAGTTTTATTATTATTATTTTGTTATTAAAATATTTACTTTGATTTATTCCACTGTAGAGTCTATTTTGTATATAACTTTTTATACATAAGTCTAAACTTGCCAATCTATATGTCGTTAGTAATCGTTTCGCGAGTTCTACCCAATGATCTAATTTTGAGTATATAATTTCAACATTATGACTTAGTCATAGAGAAAGAGTAAAATTTTATTTTTTACCAAATACCTCTAAAATGAGTTACATTTGTGTTTGCGAGTTCAGATTGTCAAATCATGAATAATGACTTATTAAAAAGTCAATACTTATAACTTTATATTTTTCTAACCTTGGATCTCTCGCAGTCATTAATAAATTTTCTTGATCAGATACAATCTTTATTTTTTTACTAAATCAATCCATCATATGATTCGAATCGCATACAGATGATAATTACAATACCTACAGTACCTTTTAATCATTTATAAGGATTACTTTCATAAATAAATAATACTCCGTACTTATTTATTTTAAAATAGCAATAAATTACTATACCGGTTTCTATGGGCATTACAGTAGCTAAGACCTCAACCCAAAAGGTGGCAGGTAAGGAGGAGGTGTAGAGGAGAGTAACGATGGTTTCAATTAAATGTCTATGCTTTCGCTCAGCTGCCCTATTCTGTTCAAGGGTGTATAAGCGCAGGATTTGTGGTGGACCCCCTATTGCTGTAAGAAAAGACCAAATTTATTATTTACATACTCAGGACCATATTTATGATTTACATATTCACGTGCATTATCAATACGGAAAATTTTAATTTTTGTTCCAAATTGATTTTTTACCATGGAGTGGAAACTTTGAAAAGAAACAAAGACACTTGATTTATGTTTAAGAGGGTAAATCTAACAAAACTTTATAAAATCATCCACAAAATTGATTTAAAACTGATATCCGATCCACCAAACGAAGGAACGTAAATAGGACCCCAAACATCTCAATGTAACAATTGAAACGGTGCAGTGGTTATAGAAGTAGATAATAGAAAAGATAAATTATGCAATTTGGACATATATAAAACAACGATCTCAATGAAAAACATCGCACTCTAAAGAGACACCTAATTTAGAAAACATTAATTTTATAACATGAAGAGAAGGATGATCAAGCCGACAGTGTCACTGATGCGACGTTGTTTTTAAAGCATTGACGACCAGTGGACCTGCTGCAGGTGACGAAGGAACGGAGGACGAGTTACATACTCGACAGGGAGGGTGTATAAACCCTGCTCACTTGGGCCTTTGTAAATCACTCGACAGGGAGGGTGTATAATTAGTGAACGTCAAACAGCCTAGGTGCAAACGTAGGGTGCTGATAAATGTTGATGGAGTGTCTCACCATTTTTTTATTCTGAAATTTTAGCTTTCTTCCTAGACCCATAATCCGAATATTTGGACTCTTGGCAGATCTTCCCCCACCCTCCAATATTACGGTCTACGGTATTAACAAACTCAAAGTGGATTTCCACGCTCTCTCTCTCTTCTCTCCGTACGCACATACTTCCTCCGTCCTACTTCCCGGTTCTGTTTACGAAGTTTGACCGATTTTATTTTTTATTCAATTTATTTGATTGTAGGTGTAAAATTAAAAAATAAAATTTATATATTTAAAAACTACATCAAAAGTTCTATAAAACAAGTGGTGACAAGACTATATTATTTTATCAAATACCTAATGAAAACAGGTAAAAAAAGTGATTAAAGTTTGACCGTGTGAATAGTAAGTGGGAAGAACATTTCAGGACGGAGGGAATATAAGTTTAGATCTTCTCCAAACATTCACACCATAGTTTTAAAAAACACTCAAATAAAACATTTGTCTGATATACATTTTTAAAGCAGATTTCGGTTCAAAGGACTGGACAAGAGCGGCTAGACCATCAGTTCGTCGCTTCATGGTCCGAGCCAGTGGGTCTGGTCAAATTTTTAAAACTATG